AATGGTAACCGGCTGAGCGCATCAGCGTTCTGGTGGCATGCTCCTCGCCTGTACACCAGGGTGTAATCGTACGCGCTCAACTTGACGCACCATCTTGTCATTCTTGGAGATAACATATGTGGAATCGGTTTGGTCGATCCAAGGATTCCAAGGAGCGGTTGGTGGTCAGTGTATATGACGACATGTCGTCCGGCAATGTACTCGTGAAAATGACACACTGCGTACACGACGGCCAACCCTTCCTTGTCTAGCTGCGAATAGTTTTTTTCTGCAGCTCCCAATGTCCTTGACGCAAAGGCGACCGGCGCTTCACGTTTTAGGTCATCTTCCTGGGCAAGGACTGCCCCCAGGCCGTAGGGCGACGTGTCGCAGGAGAGCAGCAGCGGCTTGTTTTCGTCATAGTGTGCCAAAACAGTGGATTCTTTCACCAACTCTTTCAGTTTCTGGAATGATACCCTATGCTTGTTTTTCCATTCCCACGGGACATTCTTCTGAAGAAGTCCATAGAGGTCGGTTGCAACTGTGGCTCTGTTCCTGAGAAACCGGTCGTAGAAGGCCAGCAGTCCCAGAAACGCCTGCAGTTCGTTTTTTCCTCTCGGTTCCGGCGCGTCCAGAATGGCTTGCACTTTTTCATCTGTTGTGTGAATTCCTGCTGCGTCAATTCGGTGCCCGAGGAACTTGGCTTCGCGAACTGCGAACTGACATTTTTCTTTCTTGAGCCGCAGGCCTGCGTTTTCGAGTCTGGACAGTACTTGGTCCAGGCGTGCAGCATGTTGTTCTCGGCTCTCTCCACTCACGATGATATCGTCCAAGTAGATACTTATGCCCTGAATGTCAGCCAAGGTTGTTTCCATTGCACGCTGGAAAATTGCTGGTGCCGCTGAGATTCCAAAAGGCAGGCGTTTCACTTTGTACAAGCCTTTTATGGTGTTGATGGTCAATACAGCGGCAGTGGCTTCAGACACTTTCAACTGTTGGTAGGCTTGACAAAGGTCCAACGTCGAGAAAACGGTGCCCCCTCTCAGGTTTGCCAGAACTTCTCCTGTAGTTGGTAGTGGGTACGCTGCCTTCTTTGATACGGCGTTGACAGTACTTCTGTAGTCTCCACAGAGTCTGATCTCTCCACTCTTTTTACGTACGAGGACTAGAGGTGTAGCCCACTCCGAATGTTGTACTGGCTCGATTATATCCTGCTCTTGCAGTCGGAAGAGCTCTTGCGTTACTGCAGATCGCAGTGCTAGTGGAACGGAACGAGCCTTGCAGAACTTGGGCGCTGCTCCCTCCTCTAGTTCTAAGTGAACAGAGGGTCCAGTGTATCCCGAAATGTCCTCATTGAAGACCGTGGAATGGCGGTGTAAAACCGCTTGTACCTCTGGCGGCGTGTTCTGCTGTCGCACTTGGTTGATTCCTTGTAACCTGATGTGTAGGGCCTGGAACCAGTCGCGGCCCAGGAGGTTACAGCCGGATCCCTTCAACACTAGAAGCGGAAGCACGTAGTCTTTTGACTTGAATCTGACGGTAGCTTGGAGGGATCCCAGAAGCTTCAGTCCTTCGCCACTCCAAGTACGCAGTTCAACATCGTCGTGCGTAAGTTTCGGCGGATTCCGTGGCCAGGTTTTTCGGAAGGTCTCTTCGCTAATTAGTGACCAGGCGGAACCCGAATCAACTTCGAACTCCAGTGGTTTGCCTTCAATTCGAAGTGTGACGTGAAACTTTGAAACAGCTGTGTCCGGCGCCAGCTTGTGAAGTTCATAAAATGAGCATCCAGCATTAGGCGGTATTTGGCTCTCTGAACTTGTCGATGCCATTATCTGGTTCGCTTTCTTGAGCGGTTTGCTTGCCTGATGCTTTTTCTTGGCAATACAAGCTTTTTCAATATGTCCGCGCTTGTTACAGTATCTGCAGTCCGCGTTCTTGAAACGGCACTCTTGCGGATCATGTTGTCCCGTACACCGGTAGCAACGTCGCCCCTGTTGTGTTGAGGGCTCCTTGTTCCTCTTTTCCGTCTGGTGCACCTGATGCTCGATTTTGCTCTTGATGTCCTGCTGCTGCTTAAGTGCGCTCTCAGTTCTTACTGCCATGTCAAAAGCAGCTGCAAACGTCAAATCTTTTTCTGCAAACAGACGTTGCTGCAGCAGCTCGTCGCGTATGCCGCAGACAAATCTGTCGCGCAGCATGATGTCCAACGGCAGTCTGGTGTCGCAAAGAGGTGTTGCTGGTGTCCCAGTCGTAGCCCTTGTACCGGAGACCTGACCTGCCGTTGATGGCTGCGATGCCGTCGTCGCAGCAGTTATCGATGAGGTCAAGGGTATACTGAAATTGCAGTCTGCTGCCAGTTGCTTCAGAGTCGCGACGTAACTGTTGATTGACTCGTCGGCTAGCTGGTCCCGACGCTGGAACTTGTAGCGACTGTACAGCTCCGAGGCTTGAGGGTCGAAGTGTGTCCCAAGGATCGACACCAGTTCCTCGAACCCGATATCTCCCGGCGTCCTAGGGGCCACTAAAGCTCGAACGATGTCGTACGTTTCTGGCCCGCAAAGCGTGAGTAGCAGTGCCCGCTTCTTGTCCAAGCTCGTGATAGAATTAGCCACGAAGTAGAACCCTAAGCGTTCGATCCATGACGCCCATGCCTTGCCTGAGAAGGCTTCGATGGTACCTTGGGTCGGCATGGCTTGCGGTGGCTGTCCAGGCTTCGTTGGCTCGTACCAGGTCTCGTCGCCAGTGTTGTATTCGAGTAGGCAGAGAGACTACCGCCGAATACTTCGTATTTATTCTGGTCCGGCCGTTGCGACCGGTCGGCAGATCGAGAGCTTGCGAGTGCCCGCGTTCTGCGTGTGCGCGCGTTCTGTGGCTGCTGTGCCAGCATCGTCGTCCTCTAGCACAGTGTTCCGACACCGGGTATAACACTCAGCATGTTGGATTTTTTTTTTTCAGTAATGTCATATCTCTGAGAGTATTTTGAACGGCACAGGGAATGAATCTCTTAATACAAAGTAAACGCTCATACCGTAATCATTTGAAAGTCAATAAATCAAGCCGCTCCACTGCGGTCTCAAGCCACTTGTTTGTTTTCCCACGCGGCACGTCGTATACTGAAAAAAAAAATTATATGAATTTATTTCCGATATGTTTACTGGACACATTCATATCAGTTCTTAGATGTCGCATATCAGTTTTTGGTATTTCATATCGGTCTCAAATATCGCATATCAGTTGTTTTTTTTATATTTCATATCAGTTTCATATGTCGCATATCAGTTTTTGGATATTTCATATCAGTTCTTATATAGATGTGTTTTTCACATTTCCTAGTATGTGCTTCCTTCAACGTTTCGCTGTAAAAAAGATTGAAAATAAGATTTTAAAATCAACCTCACTCATTGTTTTCGTAGCCGCCTGGTAGAATCAGAGACATAAAGTGCTGAAATTTGAAAGACACAATAAATGTTTCACTAAACTTTTAAAAAGCCGATAATTAAAATATAGGAATGTTATACCAAAAAGGCGCCCTAAATTCGTAGCATTTATTTGGAAATACGTGCAGATGCAGATGAAGGAACTGCTGATAAAACGAATGATAAATGATAAAGCGCAGAAAAGCACATAAATAAATGAAAAATTCGGATAGGCAAGGCCGGCGTACCGAATGGTGCTAACCGTGAAGGGTGAAAACCAGCCCAAAACCGCAATACTTGCAGTCACCGACAGATACACTCTTAAAAACGTCATAAGTTTACTTTCCCGCGGAATACTGGAAACGAATTATTTTTCACGATTAGGTCAAAGCTGCAGTTTTTGAATAATCTGCGGGTTATAATTTTCGCGACGCGGTAAGATCTCAATATAGATTCTAATGTTTTTACATTATAACGGAATAGTTCGCGGGGCCTATTTTTTGCGAATCGTGGCCGATTGGCGAAATCTAGGCCCTCTCGAAAATTATGTAGTTTACAGTATTTGGAGCGCCAATCATTGTAATCTGAGTAGAGACCACGACGATTGACGAGACTGAAAATATGTTAGTTTCATCCACCATGCTCAATGTGGCGCCATCTGTCTTATTTGGTGGTAACTAAAGTTGTCAACCACAACGCCACCCCCGAGATTGCTGCCACACCAGCTGATTCAGAGAGTATCGGCCTAAATGCAGTTCTCGGCCGTTATGCCCCATTCGGCCTCAAAGCCACCACCGGCCTTTTCGCCCCTCTCGGCCTTAATGCGCTCTCGGCCGTAATGAGACACTATCGGCCTTAGCGAGATGCTCCCCTTCTTTCGACTGCGAAGAGATGTGAAGCGGGAGCATAACGCTTGTGGGAGGAACTTCTCTATACCTTCTTCACTTGTAACCGACTATAAATATAACCCAACCGGAACTACTTTGGAATAATGTCTTCGTGGTTCAACCGGGTTGCGCGAATCTGTAACGGTAGGAGAACATAAAACAATAATTTCCTTTAGAGCGCGTAGTTTTATTTCGAAGCATTTCTGCCAGTTAGTGCAGTTCAAATTTAATTATATTATTCGGGAAAGCAGAACTTTTAAAATTTTACATTTTGCTTCGTTTACCATACTGAAAAAAAAAAAATTGCCTGGTGACCAAGTAGTACGCAAGTGTATTTTGCTAGGTTATTATAACAAAGTCAAGTGTGTTACTAAGTTAAGGGGCTAAATAAAATGCGAGGCCTGTTTTTGCACTCCGCAATTCAAATACACGAAGTTTTTTTTGTTTTTTTTATTTTTCTTAGGTGCTTGACTATTTTCTAAAGTGCTCATGCGATGTTCAAGCTTTGTTCAATCGGATACATAGGAACGCATTGCGATTAAAACCGAAGGCACAAGAGTCGTAGCTTTAAACATTGGAGGAAAGGGGGGGGAGGGGGAGGGGGAGTGCGATTAGACGTTTGCAAAAGGTATGATGAAAAGCGCTGGCAAAATGCAGCACCTCTGATCGCAAAATGCGCGTATAAATTATAAAGACCACAATGCACATGTCCTTGCAGGAGTTCATCGTCACTGCGTCAGCGCAAGAGGCAGCATGATTCGTACCTTTGCTCTGATAACAGCACTCGCGATTACGGTAAGTGCCAATCAAAATGTAAGTCGCGTGTTCGAGTTCGAGGCCTTGTAGTCACGTTACTTTCGTTAATACTCTTATGTCTGGAATACTCTGCAGGAGTACGAGACATACCGCAGTATCGTTCTATTAAGAATTATGGGGATTTAATTCACGAACGACTGACTGCGTAGATTCAGCGCGGTAATAACCGACAACCTGAGGAAAGCCGGGCTTTGCGAGTCCCAAGCAGTACAATGCAGAGCGCAAGATCGTCTGCTTCTCAGACATGGGTTGCAGTGACGTCAGAACGCCGAGTTCTGACAGGCTCTGATTGGAAGGATCGTAGATAAACCTCAATGCTAGCTGCCTTGAGGTCTACCCACTATCCCTCCGATCGCAGCCAATAATTGCTCGGCGTCTTTCTGACGTCACCGCATACACGGCACTATAAACAGGCGAACTTGCGCTTTGCATATCACTCCGCAGCCCACACCACATCTTTACTTACTAATTTCCTGCTTATGTCATAAGTGTATCAACCTAGCTTTGTGGTGGGCTCTTTCGCTTTGGGGATAATAACTCAATATTTTGGCTCGTCAATATTTCCGTGTCAGTAGTACCTCGTCTTAAAACCCAGAAACCTTTAAAATATATATATATATACGCGGCCGACTCAGTGTAGAAGAAATTCGCTCCATCCTGAAAAGGCTAAGTTCTTTGCCACTTCCTAACGCCCCTTATTTGTGTGTACAAACCAATATTAGCATATTTCTATTGTAAAAGCATCCATTCAAGATTAAACAATAAACAATAATCCGTTAGATCAACGAGTAGAGGTGGATTTTGAATATATAACATCATAACTGTATATATATATATAATGACAACTGCCTTTAAATTGGTGGATGACTGCTTAAGGCTTTCACGATGTAAAAGTGCAGATGGCGAGAGAATGTGTTTTAGAGAACAAGAAAAAAGCTTGTCCTTAATTAAATAATTTCTGTGCTGGTTATGAGACGGTGTAGTCCTTCTCTCTTCTCTTTCTTGTCTCGAGGTTTCTTATTATGGATGTGCACCAGCTCGCCGGCGTTTTTACTCTAATTTCACAATAAAAACCTCATTCATTAGAAAAGTTCTAAATCGTATTGCGTGAGTGATGCAATATTTTTTAGGATAAATAAGTGAATTTATTAATCTATCATACAACTAGAGCTAGCGACCGGTAAATAGCTTAGAAAATACTCTTCCCACACCTTTGCACCTTTGCACTTCCCACACCTTTGCAGCAGAGCGAATGCCGGAGGGAAGGTGACCTCCTTACCAGCGTTCGCTCTGCTGAAATGGAAAGTCGTAAGGGCAGTTTCGAACTCTTTACCTCTGCATATAGAAGTTTAAACATCCCAACATAGGGAAGCAGATATACATACTACTTATGGCATAACGGCTTGTCAATGCACTCATTTTTAATAATTTTCGCACTATCCATGCTCTGTCGCAGCGTACTAACTATAAGCTCTCGATACGAGCGCGTTCGAACTTAGTGGCGCAATGTTGTTTTTTTTTTTCTTAAATTCAGGGGAGGGGGGCTGGGGGCAGAGAGAGAGAGAAAGTCCTTTAACGCAGTTTATAAGTTTTAACAGTCTACTCGCATCTCCAACGGCGTGCATTGGATCCCCCTTTCTCCGTTCCACATTTTGGCCACCAGGCCGCGCCAATTTTAGTTGCACACTTGGATAGGATGTACCACACCGCTTCCTTCCTTCACGTCTGTCTTACTAGGAGGCGTCGCCTCCTCTGGAGTGGCGAAGAGAAAACATGGCGTTACTGCTATATCGTGCTGTTTTAGTTATGACGTCGGCTCTCACATTTCCCGCCATTCAGGTACAGTGCCAAGACGACAGGAGGCCGTTTTACGTTATCGGTCACATGGTGAACTCTATCCCACAAGTGAGCCAGTTCCTGGAGCTCGGTGCCAACGCCATCGAGAGCGACGTGGAATTCAGCGAAAACGGCACCGCACTCAGGACCTTCCATGGACTTCCGTGCGACTGCCTGCGAAGATGCAAGGAGAGCGCAGATATCGTGGATTACTTTCAGTACATCCGGAACGTCACCGGGTTCAGTAAGATTTTCTGTCCAGAGCCAATTTTAACGCGATATACTCAAGGGGTTCGTGTCGCAGGAAAGCCGGCATCGGCGTCGGTGGACTTCTGACGGGAAAATCGTGATTGGCCACTAGGGTCATGACATCAAAGCCACATGACCTCGCGCGGGAATTTTAAACCCACAACGCTCACGTGAATTGTGACGTCAAGCGTGGAATGAAAGTGATTAAGACATGACATGGTAATGCGAATTATGGGTAACCTTATGTCTGAAATGATTTCACCTTATAAAACAATTCTTTTACCTTAAAGAAAAATATATAAGGATTTCAGGCGGGATTCTAGCCCACGACCCTTCAGTTGCGAGCCAGATACGCTACTGGCTACGCTTGCATGACTTGAAAACGAGCGGGAGTTGATGTGCTTCGCCTATCGCGTTCCACCTTTTTTTCACACCTTGACCAACGGTCTTAGCCGCGACCAACGGCGTCGGTTGATAGCTTCGGCCACAGTAAACCAGTACACAAGTAAACCGTGAAGCAGTGAGCAGGCAGTCTTCCAAAGCAATATAAATTAAATTGATCCATGTTGCGCAAGTCACATAAACCTCTTTTTAGGAACATTTATATTCGGATGATAGACTGCCTCGAGAGATGGCCGCTTTTTGAATATCGTAGAAGGAAGCCAGTGCCTCAGGACTGGCTTTCTTCAGGCTGTAGTGATCAGGTGAATGAATGCTGGTAGAAGTACACAATAGTTATTTATTTATTTATATATTCAAAATACCTTGCAGGTCCGTTTCTTGACATTACACAATAAAAAGGGGGGGGGGGGGATTTAGTCAAAGTAGACCATAAGCATTTTTAAAAGCAGATACTTACAACGAAGGATTTCACGTTTTCTCAGCCGTGAACAATTTTAGCGGAAACACAACGCAATTTCTACATTTTAACACTCTTTTAGGAAGAGCCCTACCAGCAACGAAAATTCACGTTTTGTAGAAAAATGTAAAAGACTATTTAGGTAAGACCATCATGGGAAATAGAAGCTATAAGGCACTCAAGTAATCTAGTATAGCAGCTCGAAATGTAGCATGGTCATAAAGTGAGGTTATGTTGTCAGGGAGCCTATACGTCTACTCCTTTTTTTTACTCCTCTTATCTAGAGTCCAGTCCTCCGCTGACACGGATGATGTTCATTTACAACAATTATTTTAACCCTCACGTGGGCTTTTTTATACCTTTTAAAAAGTTCAAGAATAGTATAGTGGTTAGGATTGCCGAGTAGTTTGTTTAGTTCAGTGCCGTTTCATGTGAAGTGTAACCCTAAAAAAGGCCCCTAAAGCTGTTTGGGAAACATAATAAAACTCCAATTGATTGATTGATTGATTCCAGTTCATAACAGCGCGTGGCAACGGGGTTATTGAAAGCAGATGACCAAAAATACGCTTATAACTCTGACTGTTAGTTAGATGGTGTGATGTTCGGTTAGGAGGCGCAAGGAGCTAGGCGATAACTCTGGGTTTAGTAAAGCTTGATTTGTGAATAATGCATGGGAGGGCAGTGATGCGACGCATCTCGAGAACCTGTAGGGGGATTTTGTTTTTAAAGAAATAGGCACTTGTATGCCGGGAGTAAGATGATGTTATACACCTTGCAGCACGATTTTGGAGGCTTTCAATTTAGTTATTAAGGTATTTCTGGTGGGGATTCCATACGGCAGAAGCAAATTCAAGTAAGGGGCGATCGTATGTTGTATATGCCAACTTGCGTAGGTGAAGGGAGACAAAGTAAAGGTAGCATCGTGAATATCCCAATGTTCGGGATGCAGAACTGGTAATGACGTTGGCGTGGTTATTCCCAGGCAGGTCACTAGAAAGATCAACGCCCAAAACCCGAAACTTTAGAAGCGAGAGGTTTAGAGACCCGAGTTACCAAGATGATATGAATAAGGTGATAGTTCTCTAAGAATTTATTATTATCACAAAAATGTGTAAAAGACATACAAAATTTGGCGAAGCTGGTAGGAATAATTTGAAAAGGAATCGCATAGGTGTGTCCTACTGGCTGTCGACGTTTTGCCAAGAAATTAGTTTCTTCGAGCAATGTAAGCTAGCAAAATACGGGCTACCACTGTAAGACGTTCAGGTGGTTCATTCAGTGTATCACTTACCCTTCCTTTCTATGATGAACCTAAAGGGTTATGCCAACAAGTTGTTCAACGGCGACGCCTTTATTCCTATATATTAAGAAGTATGATTATATAACAGTTTACATTTTTGTTTTCTGAGTTCGTCCTCTGCGCGCCATAATCCGCCAAATTTTAACGCGCTGCTTTCTTGACGGCACACTTGAAGAAAAAAAAAATGCAACGATTAAAATGCGCTTTTATCGCTTTCGCTCACTACTGGTTGTGGGCTTTAAGATGCAGATAACAAAAAAAAAAATGAAACTTCAAAGGTGAATTTTAATCGGGGTCTTCAACAGTGTGCTCATCAAATTTTTAATTGAAAACAGTTAGTTTCACTAATACCAACTAATAATTAGAACATTGTTTACCACTTTAATGTACTACAAAAGTCACCTTGTTATATGTGTAGTTCCGGTGTCGTTGACCAAAACGTCATTAACCTTTTCTTTTTTCTTTTGCGATGCGTATTGTACGTTTAAACCTTTACTTTAATTCTGTAAAAAAACTGTATACTGCCTGTAAAAAAAATGTATAGTCATATTGTTGCCCTAAAATAATAAAGTTATTGTGTGTAATAAAGTAGCCTATAAATAATGCATATAAAAATTAATTCCTGCATTAGTTACCGTGTCATATAACCTGAAACATCGTTAAAGTGCCTGCCATCCCGATGGGAATAATCGAAAAATACATCCAAAGAATCTCTCCATGTTTAATGTTTTGTATACTTATTCCTTTTGCTCCTAATATATTTTTTCAGGACACAGCCAATATAGCGAAAAACTTCTGCTCGTCTTTCTGGACCTCAAGGTATCCAAACTACCTCCGGAGAGTAAATACGCCGCTGGAGTAGACATCGCCACCAAGCTCGTTCTACATCTCTGGGACGGAGGTTTGTGCGCCTAAATGCCAATACTCCGGCACACCAAAATAAAAATAAAAAATTCAGTGCATCTAAAGTGGTGAACTGGGCGAGTTGGTTAACGTTGAACACGATGAAACATCGCGCGCAAAGAAACAAGGACAGAAGAGGAAGGAACAGATAAAGCGCGAAACACATGTACGACGAAACCGTCCGATCCGACGTCCGACCACGCAATACCACGGTCGGAGGCGAGGGTTTTCAACGCTCTCCGATGCTACGAAAACCCTCTCTCCCAAGGTCATTCCGGCAGTCCGCACGTCGGATCGGAAGGTTTCGTCGTACATGTGTTTCGCGCTTAAGGCGCCCCTCTCTGTGTTCCGTGTTCCTACCTCTTTTGTCTTTGTCTCTTTGTGTGCTATTTATTTTTCATCATTTTTAGTTCATCTCCTTTTTCGCAAAGCGCTTGGGAAAGCAAATTGCTTCAATCTATGGAGGAAGTTTGTCGAATGACGACGAGGCGAGAGGCTAAATATATTTATGCTGGCGGTCAGCTTTCTCTGGCAATGCAGTCAATGCTAGGGGAGAGGGTCCGCCAACCGCTGTATACCAGATAGACGCGCTTTCCTCCTCTCTTCAGATTGCCGCAGAAAGCAGACCGCGAGTACAGAAGTTGCAAGTAATCAAATGACTTGTAACCGAGTTCTTTTTGGAGTTATTTTGTAATAATCTGATGGCACTTATTAGAAATGAATCACAAGAGCAATAGTACTACTTTTTAACGTGCTAAAAGTACTTGTAACTGTCACTATTTATTTTCTCCCCTATCTAATGGCGCCCTGTATTTCTAGAAGTTTAATATCAAGCAATTACCAAAATATGAGAAATAAGAAGATTTGAGTTCTTAATAGTTGGGGAATTCCCAATTCGAATCTGAACTAAGTGTTAAAAGAGAGTTTTCAAACCGGCAGAAGAATCTGTCATTCGGAAATCTGAAGTGATCGGAAAAGTAAGGGTTACTTTTCAAGTAACGGCCAATTTCTTTTGTTCTAAACTAATTAAGTGACCTAATTGAATATTTTGCAACCAAGAGTAAGTGTAATTGTAATCAATTTTTTTTTTCTTGTAACGCGTACAAGGCTGGCCGTTATGACGCCAAGCATAACCTGAACCCCTGAAACGTCATGCTTAATGTCATAGCGCGGCGCAGACAGTTTGTCACAGCGAAACGCAGACGAGTTCGTCGAGCTTCCGCTGTAGACTGCAGCTCTCTCGAGTACTTTTGACGTTTGAGAAAGTACGCGTACCAGATTTCTTAGAGTGTTTATAGCGTTGATAATCGAAATGAACTCAATGGCTACTTGGTTACGCGTATTATAATATATGCACCACGGAAAATGGCAAGCAAACTCGTGAAACATCAATTGTTCTACTCCATGTCGCACCAAGTCCCAGTGAATTTGACGCTGTGATTCGACGGAGAGAACCAAGCAGTACAAAAAGTGCACCGTCACGGTTTCAGTCGTTTTTGCGCGTTTACGGTAACCGGCTAGACTACTGTACGCCGTGTCACCAGTTTCGTGCAGTACAGGCGAAGGCAACGCGAGGCGAGTTGGTAAACGTTGACGAGCACTAGGAAGGCTGAGGAAAGAAAGAGAAACCTCCCCTCTCTTTCCCCCTTCTCCTTTACTGCCGTCGTCTCCGGTCCCGCCGTCCTAGTCCTAGTTGAGACGTCTGGTGTTTCCCTCTCTTTGGAGCCTCCGTCTTAGGTGTTAGAAATGTTTATCTTTAACCAGCTCGCCTGCCTTAGCGCTCGTCTTGTCTTCTAGTTCTGCTACGGTTGGTGACAGGTTAAGAGTTCAGGGAAAGCTCCTCCCACCTTTCTTCCCTTTGGCAGAGTGCTAGAAAGGAGGCGACTTCCTTTCCAGCGTTTGCTGTCCTAAAGGGGAAAGGGTGGGTGGAGCTTCCACTTTATTCTTAACATGTCACCGACTATAGGCCTTGTCCTTTTGGACTCTGTTTATTTTAATAGTGTCGATACGTTTCCTAAATTAAAAACATGCTACTACTTCCACAAATGTTCTAAAGAAGTCCAATCCTTTGTATAGTATTGTTGCCTCGTTGCCTGGCTCTGGCGTAAAATTACGAGGAAGACTGAATTAAAATATATAAGGGTTTCTAAGCTAGTGCTGGCGCTATTACTTTTTCCAGGCTTAGATTAATAATACTTTATGTTTTTTTGTTTTTTTTTTCGTTTTTTGTTATTTTCCCCTTAGTCACTGCGGCGTTCTGAACGACGCATTTTGAAGATAAATGCTGTAATTGTTTTTAGAACTTTGATAATAACTGTGTATTAGGTCTTACATCACGAGTGAGAGTTTTACGATGATCCTCATTTATGTAAACGTTGCTAATTATTTTAATATAAATTGCGTTACTCCAGAATCATTTTAGTTTGCGTTTTTACAAAGTTATATAGCTTAAATCCAGGTGATTCTCTGCCTTAGAGGTCGTGTTCAGAGACAGTGAAGCCGCAGGTGTAGTTTAGAATCTCATCTCTTTCTTGGCTCTTGTTGGGTTATCAACACGGCTGTACGTAAAGCTTTGATCCGTGTCAAATAAAAGCGCGGTAAGCCCGAGCTACTAAGAAAAGCGCGCAGCGTACAGCTCTGCTTCCCAATAACGCCACTATACCCTCTAAAAAAACCCTGTGCGTCTATTTCCCCGCACAACACTCGGAGAGCCAATCACCGCAACTTACGGAGGCAGCTCAGCGAATGACAGCGCCGAAACATATGGTGTGACTAGATGGAAAGCGCCGAATAAACAAGCACGAAGAAGGGGACAGAGACGAAGCGCACTCTCAACTGAAGGTCTATTGAAACAAACATTAACTATTAATACCGTTTATCTGGGTGTTGGCTCAAAAAGAAGACCTCTTTATCTGTTAAGTGCAGTGACGGCGCACTAATACACAGACTCTCCCCTTGTTCTCTTATGCGGTCTGCCTCGTGTATTCCTCGCGCTGTTTTGTTTGCGTATCTGCCCAGAACTGTTGTTTCCTCCAATTCCGGACCACAGTGCACCGTGATTGCGCGACGGGGACTGTTTCGCTGACCAGGCATGTTCCCTGACCCTTTCATTTATGCAACGCGCCGTTCAGCCCAAATACGATTTCCCGCAACTCATTGGTATGTTATATACCACTGACGTTGCACACTCCACATATTGCTTAGCGTGTTTCCTTTGGCACACTTTACCCTCTCCCTTTCCGTTGTTTATTTTTGAACATAGATGAGACAGCTTGTGTGGCGCTGAAAGCACCACTGGCACTTCAAAATGAGCCGCCACTTTTTTAGATTGTGCGACAGATTGTGAATGTAAGGAATCTTTAAACCAAAAAACGTAGTCTGAGTTGTTACATTAAGCAATGCTAGCGTGACAACAACTCAGAATGCCACAACTCAGAATAGGAAGCCCGATTTAATACCTTCACGTTTTCTTTTTTCTTTTATTTTTTTTTCTCATCATTTGTTGTTCAACGTTTTTATCGCCTCATGCTGCAATCCCATTGGCCGCAGAATGACAATGAGGTGTTCGGCACTAGCCCGCCCAACGTTTTTTTAAGATGCCACTGACCGTCGTTCTGTGCAAGCCCTGCTGCGAACCACATGGCGCCCCTTTTATACCCGTTGGTCGCAGCGCGTGCCGCTTCTTTATTTTATTTTTTTGGCGAAGTAGACGCTGATCCGGATGTGTGTCTTCTTTGTCGCTTCTCTAGTACCGTTCTACGACACGATGAACGTGTTGCTGTCCATCGGCCGCGCATCCGACATGGCCGTGCTCACTGGAGCCATCGACACAATAATAGGTTTCGACCCCAGCCTGTCTCTGTTCAACCATGTGGGTGAGTCTGCGTTTTCCACTAACTGCTATAGATAAAAATAAAATCAGCACTACGACATCCTTCATTCTCGTTCCCATGACGCTTTAACGCTGCTATACTCGTATTCCCCTCAAGAAAGGCAGTAAAAATGTAGTCCGGCTCCTCGCGGAACGTTACTAATTTTCTCCTTCATGCGTTGAGCGTTGAGTTAAGATATGAGCGGGTGAATTTTATATTAGCTTTGTGTTTCTTTATCAAGACGTACTCGTTTCGAGCGCCACAAGCATCACCTCATCCTCCGACAACCATACATCCTTATAAGTACTACCTCGCGCAGCGCATAAATAATGCGCAAAGCTCCTTTTTTTTTTTCTTTTGTCGTTTCTTGATGTGACAACGAGTGTGGTAGAATGTGCCCTCAACTGGTCAATACAAATACGTCCGACTCCTAAACCTCACGGGGGTGGTGAAATTCAGACTTACAACATTGGTCCAACATAGCGTCGCTTGGAACAATATAAGCCTTCACATGTTGACGTCATCACAGTGAGATCGGGCGAACACACCGATTGGATACGACTGCTGCGTCAGGGTTCGGCTGGGCCTCGCGTCCAATCAGCGGGTCGCAGGATGCTAGGCATCGGGCTCGTGTCCAATTGCTGAGTTGGCGCCGTCTGACTGGGATGGCGTTCCATGGAAGGAAGAGTCGGGCGTTCGGAGGACTTCGTCATTCTAGGTGGCGTTTATTACGGCCGCTTGTAATCGCTTACGGAAAGAGAACACTATAGAGAGCCTAGATTGTAAAGAGGGTTCTTCTCAAACCACGGGGAGCGTTTGCAATTTAATGGCGGACGCCTCCCGCGCCCGATTGGTCCTAAGTGCGCATGCGCTGCGTTGTCGCGTCGCGAGGAGGAAAGCAGGTGGACAGACAGAGACGTTTGCTGACGATCAACGCGTTCGTCACCTCCTCGCAGATCGCATTGCGAACGCGGCCCATGGACTACGTGACCCCGATCGAGCAGTTGGACACTCTGTGTAATACAGGCTCTCTAGAGAACGCACTGGAAGACTGGCGCCATCTCTCAGCTCTCCGTGGAACCCTTCCGATATCTTTCTATATATATATACAGGGTGTGACAAAAAGATCTACAGGATTTTTTTTTTTTTTTTTACCGCAAAGATAAACTAGCATTACCGAACGCTCATTCTCCGGCCAAAGGTAGCGCTAGAGGTCACAACCAGATGCCAAAGTTTCAGCCCGATCCGATACCTTATTGCAAAGTTATAATTGATTTTCTGAAAATTTCAATGGGGAAATGGAGCCCCTTTTTTGCCCGTTTTCGGTTTCTGGTGCCATGGAGCCCCCTGTATTCGAAAACTTCATCGGCCGCCATTTTCCCATTGAAATTTTCAGAAAATGAATTATAACTTTTGAATAGAGAGGTATATATATATATATATATATATAACTGAGAAGAAAAAAGCCCTTAGTGAAAACAGCAACAACGGACGATTTCGAAGATTAAATCGTCCGTTGTTGCTGTTTTCACTAAGGGTTTTTTTCTTCTCAGTTATATACCCACGCCTTCGGCCTCCCGCCACCATGAGCGTTGTATATATATATATATATATATACCGGGTTTTCGTTTTTGATTTGAACAGATTTATTTTAAAAAATCCGTAAAAGATGGAATGATACGGTTTGTGCAGGTGAGTTATACGGCCAGGGGGGGCATTTTATAAAGAGCTAATCGTAACGATCAGTTGGCTAATTAATTAAAATTCGTTAATTTACTTTTTAATTATTGAAAATAGACATATGGTTCTAATTAGAAACTTGCACAGCGTCACCGAAAACCACTAAATCAGTCATTTTCAGAAGGACTTTGAGCGCGTGAGAAGCGTAGTAGTGCACTAAAGTTACACTCGTGGAGCAGGTACAAGGCTGGGGCTAGATAAGAGACGGAAAAATCGCGCGGGCGCCTTACCGCAACCGCTAGCTTTGTACCTGCTCCACGAGTGGTAACCACTAAATCATCTGATTCTGGAAAGATATAACGCCGGGGAAGCATTTTACGGCGTTCTGTAAAAGCGTTCCATTTGGACGCGTTTCTAGATTTCGGTTTCTTACCGGAGCGCATCACCGCGCCCTCGGTCCTGCTCCCCAGTGGCTGAGCCGCGCAACAGACGTGCGCCGTACTTCCCTCGATTCTACGAGGAAGGCGAAGAGGTGGCTTCGCGCCGCGACCTCCGGGGAGCAGGAACGCGGGCGCGTAGATGCGCTCCGATAAGAGACCAAAATCTAGAAACGCATCCAAATGGAGCGTTTTTACAGAATGCCGTAAAATGCTGCCCCGGCGTTATATCCTGCTAAAAATAGTTGATTTAGGGGTTTTCAATGATGCTCAGCAAGTTTCTAATTGGAATAATATGTTTAATTTCAGTAATTAAAAAGCTTATTAACGAATTTTAATTAATTAGCCGACTTATAGCAAAGATTAGCCGCCCACATAATGTCCGCCTGGCCGTATAACCCACCTGCACAAACCGCATTAGTGTAGCTTTCACGGTTTTTTTAAACAAATGTGTAAGAATAAAAAAAACACCATATATATATATATATATATATATATATATATATATATATATATATATATATATATATATATATATATATATATATATATATATATATATATATATATATATATATATATATATATATATATATATATATATATATATATGGGTGTTTTCATCTCAAATCGGGCAGGCTAAAAGGGCCTAATTTTTAATTTTCACGAAAAAAATATATGTTTTGGGGGTATTTCTCAAATGAAGGAGGGCGCAAACCGCATGTTCTCCCGCTTTTTCGTTCTCGAGTTACGAGCCGTAGAAGCCGCAGTGGCAGAAACTAGTGTTTTTGCCTGCCGTCGCAGGTCATGTGTTTGACACCCTCTGCTGACGCTATTGTTTTTTCTACACCCTTTTAACTTTCCCCCCTCATTTAATAGGTATTACAAAGATACCTTGATGTATTCAAATATTTTTAGGAATTCGATTGTTTTCTAAAACACACGTCAAACTCGTCACTCCGGTCGGTTTTTGGTCAAATTTGACAGGTCATTACTTTGTCTGTACTTAAGGTAAATTTTCTTTCTTTGGCTCTACAGAAAGCCCAAAGCAAGCCCATTATAGATATAATAATATCATTATAATCTGTCGACTAACCGCTCCGCTACCTTCACGTAAACGTTGTAATAAATAACAAATGTTGAAAGTTTGAGGTCGATTTTCTCAAAAACCCCATTTTTGTACATTTTATTTTTTTAACTATCTTAGACATATTAGTCGACTACAAAAAAAAAACAGTCTAGAAATGTAATATTTTTGTTGTATGTCCTCTGTTTGAGCCGCAATCGCGTGAAATGTGTGAACATTTGTTATTTTTTACAACGTTTACGTGAAGGTAGCGGAGCGGCTACTCGGTAGATAATAATGATCTTATTATATCTATAATCGGCTTGCTTTGGGCTTTCAGTAGAGCCAAAGACACAAATTTTACCTTAAGTATAGACAAAGTAATGACCTGTCAAATTTGACCTAAAAGCGACCGGAGTGACGAGTTTGACATGTTTTTTAGAAAACAATAAAATTTCTAAAACTATTTGAATACATCAAGATATCTTTATAATACCTATTAAATGAGGGGGGAAAGTTAAAAGGGTGTAGAGAAAGCAATAGCGCCAGCAGAGGGTATCAAACACGCGACCTCCGACGGCAGGCAAAAACACAGTTTTCTGCCACTGCGGCTTCTACGCTTCGTAACTGAAGAACAAAAAATCTGGAGAACATGCGGTTTGCGCCCTCATTCATTCGATAGATGCCCCCAAAACATATATTTTTTTCGTGAAAATTAAAAATCAGACTTTTTTAGTCTGCCCGATTTGAGATGAAATTTCGCATATCGGGCAGACTGAAAGGGTCCAGGTTTTAATTTTCACAAAAAAAAATATATGTTTTAGGGGCATTTCTCAAATGAATGAAAGCGCAAACCGCAAGTACTCCAGATTTTTTGTTCTCGAGTTACGAAGCGTAGAAGCCGCAGTGGCAGAAACTAGTGTTTTTGCCTGCCGTCGCAGGTCGCGTGTTTGACACCCTCTGCTGGCGCTAGTGTTTTTTCTACACCACTTTAACTTTTCCTCCTCGTTTAATAGGTACTATAAAAATAACTTCACGGATTCAAATATCTCTAATAGTTTGATTGTTTTTTAAACAAAATGTCAAACTCGTCATTCAGGTCGATTTTTGGTCAACTTTGACAGGTCATTACTTTGTCTGTACTTAAAATAAATTTTCTTTTTTGGCTCTACAGAAAGCCCAAAGTAAGCCCATTATTGATATAATAATATCATTATTATCTGCCGTGTAGCCGCTCCGCTACCTTAACGTAAACGTTGTAAAAAATAACAAATGTTCACACATTTCACGCAATTCCGGCTCAAACAGAGGACATACAACCAAAATATTACATTTCTAGACTATGTTTTTTTGTAGTCGACTAATATGTCTAAAAAAATTTAAAAAAATAAAAATTTACAAAAATGGGGTTTTTGAGAAAATCGGCCTCAAACTTTCAACATTCGTTATTTCTTACAACGTTTACGTGAAGGTAGCGGAGCGGTTAGTCGACAGATCATAATGATATTATTATATCTATAATGGGCTTGCTTTGGGCTTTCTGTAGAGCCAAAGAAAGAAAATTTACCTTAAGTACAGACAAAGTAATGACCTGTCAAATTCGACCAAAAAGCGACCGGAGTGACGAGTTTGACATGTGTTTTAGAAAACAATTAAATTCCTAAAAATATTTGAATACATCAAGGTATCTTTATAATACCTATTAAATGAGGGGGAAAAGTTAAAAGGGTGTCAAAAAGACAATAGCGTCAGCAGAGGGTGTCAAACACGCGACCTGCGACGGCAGGCAAAAACACTATACTCCGTTTCACCTTCAGCCCGAGCGCAGCGGATGCTAGGAGCCATCCCAGCCAATCCAGCGTTGAGAGAGTGTCATGTGACCTTGAGCTCTCCGTGTCGTTCTGCCCAACCGGCAAGTCACGCGATTCTCTCCCGGCGCTGATCGGCTGGGATAGCTTTTGGCGTCCACTGCGCTCGGACTGAAGGTGGAACGGAGTATAGTTTCTGCCACTGCGGCTTCTACGGCTCGTAACTCGAGAACGAAAAATCGAGAGAACATGCGGTTTGCGCCCTCCTTCATTTAAGAAATACCTCCAAAACATACACTTTTTTCGTGAAAATTAAAAATTAGACCCTTTTAGCCTGCCCGATTTGAGATGAAATCACCCATATATATATATATATATATATATATATAGAGAGAGAGAGAGAGAGAGAGAGAGAGATATATATACAGGTTTTTTTTTTTAAGTTTAACAGAATCTTTTTTTTTTTTCAAAAACCATAAAAGCTAGATTAATGCGGTTTGTGCAGGTGAGTTATACGGCCAGGGGGACATAATTGAGGAGGCTAATTGTAATGATCAGTCGGCTAATTAGTTAAAATTTGTTATTTAACTTTTTAATTAATTAAAATAGGCATATAGTTTCAATTAGAAACTTGTTGGGCGTCGTCGAAAAGCCCTAAATCCGTCATTTTCAGCAAGACTTTGAGCACGTGAGGAGCGTAGTAGTGCACTTAACTTAGCACTCGTGGGGCACGTACAAAGCTAGCGGTTGCGATAAGGCGGCCGCGCAATTTTTCCGTCTCTTATTATAGTCCCAGCTTTGTACCTGCTCCACGAGTCGTAACTTTATTGCACTACTACGCTTCTCACGCGCTCAAACTCTTTCTGAAAATGACTGATTTAGTGGTTTTCGATGACGCTGAGCAAGTTTCTAATTGGAACTATAGGTCTATTTTCGTTAATTACAAAGTTAACTAACAAATTTTAACTAATTAGCCGATTGATCGTTACGATTAGCCGCCTATACTATGTCCTAGAACATAGAACATAGCTTTATTTTTCATTTTAACAATACAAACATACAGATAACGAGCCGGTATAAGCCTCAAGGGCTTGTGTACCTAGCTCGGCAGGTGGCGAAATCACAGTGTACTTCAAAATGAAAGCGTCTATTTACCCTCAAAAACACAATTCAGAAAAATACTGACGAGGAATACACACATATATATACACACCCGTATATAGAGAGGACATACCGTTACTTGGCACGTAATACAGGAGGTCAGAAAATGTCAAATCACTGATCTAGGTTTCGGAGTGCTTTTTTAAGTTTATTTTTAGATCTTATAGAGAGCAATGATTCTCGCAAGTTGTTGAAAACATGTGGTGCATAGTACATTCGAGTACGCTCGCCATATTTTGTTCTGATTCGCGGTACATCAAAACGAAGTGAAGGTCTCATAGGTCGCGGCTGCAGATATGGAGTTTTAAACATAGAATTCCAGAAGTGCCGGAGAACGACTGTTTCTTTAAAAAGCCCCTCAAAAGACGGTAGTTGAAGTTCACGAAATATACATGTATCAAGTAAGATATCTGGCTTATCAAATGCAACACTTTTCAAAATACCTCTTTATAAAGAATTCGCCCTGGCGCGCCAAAAAAGGGAGCAACCAGAAAAAATTGTTATACCGTATAGTAAATAACTGTATGCCAAAGCTTGCGTTAACATCTTTCTAACAGAAAAGGGCAAGAACATTTTGACATTGTAAAGACAACAGGACATGCTTCTTAGTCGCTTACATAAGTATGACATTTGAGTACTCCACGACAAGTCGCTGTCAAAAAAAATTCCCAGGTATTTTACCGTTTTCACATACTGCAGAGCTTCACAACTACAAGAAATACAGGTGGAAGTATGCAGCGCTACAGTATCCGATAGTTCTACCTGCTTGAGCGGGTGCCTAAAACAAACAAGTTTTGTTTTTGACGCGTTCACTTTGATTAAGTTGGAAAAAAAACCAATCCATTGTGAAAATAAGATCTTTCTGAAGTTTCCGAACGGCAACGTGGTAATCTGCGTCACATGACATCAAAACTGTGTCGTCCGCATATTTATATATTTTACACTCCGATATAACATTAAGAAGATCATTTACATAAAGGTTAAATAACAAACGCGATAAAACGGACCCTTGCGGAACCAGGCAGTCAGAAAGGTTTTATTACTTTTGCGATTTCTAAAAGCTACAACTTGGGATCGTCCTGAAAGATACCCATTTAAAATCGAAACCTAGACCGTATAACTCACCTGCGTAGACCGCATTAACCTAGCTTTCATGCTTTCTTTTTAAAAATTCTGTTAAGCTTAAAAAAAAACACCCTATATATATATATATATATATATATATATATATATATATATATATATATATATATATATATATATATATATATATATATATATATGTTTTCTGACCATTCCTTCACCGCGGACTTAAGGCCCGTTCACACACTGTTGCGCTTGCCTTGGACCGAATTGTTGTGATCTTTTAAGACGAGAGAAGAGACTGGCACGCTGGCGCCATCTTTGAGGTGACCCGGGAACTGCGCTTCACTAGAGCGAAGGTTTCGCGGTATATTGCGAGATCAAAGGTGCGTACTATCCAGGTGATGTTATCGTCTGTAACAATATCAAAACTATTTTCAAGAAAACAAATAATGATGCATGCACATACAAACAGAATATATACAGGGTGTCACAAAAGAAAATTTACACGGTCTTTTTTACCGCAAAAGTGAACTAGGCATCGCCGAACGCTCATTCTCCGCCTAAAAGTAGAGCTAGCGGTCACAACCAGATGCCAAAGTTTCAGCCCGATCCGATAACTAAATCAAAAGTTATAAGTGATTTCCTGAAAATTTCAATGGGAAAATGGCGGCCGACGGAGTTTTCAAACACATGAGGCGCTATGCACCAGAAACCGAAAATGGGCAAAAATGAGCTCCATTTTCCCATTGAAATTTTCAGAAAATCACTTATAACTTTTGATTAAGTTAACGGATCGAGCTGAAACTTTGGCCTCTGGTTGTGACCTCTAGCTCTACCTTTGGGCGGAGAATGAGCGTCCGGCGATGTCTAGTTTGTTTTTGCGGTGAAAAAGACCGTGTAAATTTTCTTTTGTGACACCCTGTATACGGTAACTGCGAGTGTTCCACCGCTATACGATAGAAGGAGCCAGTGTGTTATCCCGTCGTAAGCGATTTTAAGAGTTCTGAAGGCACACAGTTGGAACGCAGTCTCAAATGTGTGAACCAGCCTTAAACATAATTTTGACAATTTTGTTAGCAACCGTTTCCCATACAATAGAATGGAAATTTGACCTCGCAAATGCTACAAGACTTTCAGAACAGCTCCAGGGGAATAGAATGCCCGCGCCTCAGTGTGCTCTTCGCTTTTTCCTCGATAATATTCAAAACAGCTTTCTCCATTTGGGTGTTACCGACGCCCGACAAAACCTCTTCGCAGGATTTGATGTGGGTCTGAACGACAAGCTTGAGAACATCGCTAAAATGTACGAACGACTGGGTGTTAATGGACACCGCTGGCAAGGCGACGGTATCACAAACTGTCTGGTCAACCTGCGATCTCCACTCCGACTGAAGGAAACGATTTCGTACAGAGATACCAACAAGAGAGAGAGCTACGTCGACAAGGTCTACTACTGGACCGTAGACAAGGTGGCGACCATAAGGAAGACGATCCGGTGAGGAGACGTGATTTCGTTTTAATGTATATTTACGTTTCTCCCTTGTTCTACGTTTCTGTGGCTATAGAATCAATATCAACTTAGAAAAGACCTCCGTCAAGTTTATTAGTGTATTATCTATATAACGTCTCTCTTTTTGCTAGGCATTGTTTGAATTAAATGCATTGCATTGCAGGTTTTAATGCACAACAATGCAGTGCATTGCATGTGTCTAATTGAAACAGCAAACGAAGACAAAAAAAAAATCAAACGGCGCAAACTACAGGGTGACACAAAAAAAAAAAATGTTCAGCATTTTTGTTTTTACCGCAAAAATAAACTAGGCATCGCCGAACGCTCATTCTTCGCCCAAAGGTATCGCTAGAGGTCTCAACCAGATGCCAAAGTTTCAGCCCGATCCTTGAACTTAATCAAAAGTTATAAGCGATTTTCTGAAAAATTCAGTGGGAAAATGGAGCCCATTTTTGCCCATTTTTGGTTTCTGGGTTCATAGAGTCCCATGCATTCCAAAACTCTGTCGGCTGCCATTCACCCCCCCCCCCCCCCCCCCCCAATGAACTTTTCACAAAATCACATAACTTTTGAATAAGGTATCGAATGGGGCTGAAAATATGGCATCTGGTTGTAGCCTGTAGCCCTATCTTTCGGCGGAGAATGAGCGTTCAGTGATGCCTAGTTTATTTTTGAAAAAGAAAACTGCACTTTTTTTTTCTTTGTGACAACCCTGTACATTCGAAGTATCGCTGCGTTATACCCCGGCTTCAAATTATAAGGGGGGGGGGGGGGGGTGTTCTCTACTCCAGTAGGACAGTTTTATGCAGTATACGTTATTCGCAAATAACATTTTAAGTACAGACATATTTTATTGTGCAGACTGATTACAATAGATTTTTCTAGTGTCAGTGGCGACAGCCTTTCGTCGCACCGTCTTGGATGTTCGTTCATCTCATTCCCTGCTTCGTACGCGCTGTTAACTATACGTTATAACTTCTACATCTAACTTTTTTTTTTAATTTTGGTACCAAGTGGCGCATGAGCTAGAGCCTATAAAATGTCTGAGAATCTCGAGTCACACCTCAACAATTTACACTAACGCGCGTACCGCTAATACAGAAACTACACTAAAATACTTACTGTACTTTATTTCCTAAAAAGCACGACATGAAATCAGAAAAATATAGTGATTTATACCGGTACTAGTGTTCAAAGATTCACATATCGTGACCAGGACGAACTTTGGACCATAAGCAACTTCACGGACTCGTTATTCGCATCATTATTACTGCAAGCTGGTTAGGCGCAAACGCGACGAATTTTCGAATAGTCACAAAGAGAAGCACATGCGTGTAAAGGTGGCAGAGTACAACAATGAGAGATGTTCTGGAATGCGCAGCCGCCGTGCTAAAAGATTCTTACCGTGCGCAACATGGTGGTACAGAGCGCGACACTGTAAGTGCGAACAAGCGATCGCCGGTTTTTCCAGTTTTTCTTTTTGAAACCAAGGGATGCCATCCAAGTTATTATTGGTACGGAAAGAGCTCATTTTGTTCTGTATTGTAAGCGATAACATTTCTTACTCGCTAATACTACTTAAAAGTAAAATGCGAAAATGCGCCGATGTCGTGTTCGCGCTAACAGTGTCGCGATGTGCACGTGTCTTCTTCACCCAATACAAACCAAAAGACAAAGCCTGCAACCCTCCCCCCGCTCTCCCCCCAAAACGCCACCACCAAAACGTCACCACCAAAACGTCACCACCAAAACGTCACCACCGCGATCCAAAGGTTGCGTGTGCATCACCGCCAACGCGTCTCGCAGCGTCTCCCAACGAGCGCGACGCTAGCAGGCGGCGACGCCAAGGAGACGGTCGCGTTTGCCCCCTTGCGGCGACTCTCAAGAGCTTTAGCGTGTTTACCGCTTGGGGCGTGTCGGAGATCCACTAACAATGACGTCACGCACAGGCCTTGTCTTTCACGCGGTCGTGCTTCCGCGGGCACCGACTTAGGGACATTTTGTTCCGTACCAAGTTCCTATAGCTCTAGGAATTTGAAATTACGAGGCGGGCAACTCGTCTGCTTCTTGCGAGGAGTTGCGGCAACGTCAGAACGACGCCAAGCCCTCATTAGCTTTGACTGAAAGGATAGTGGGTAAACATCAATGATAGCTGCCTTGAGGTCCAACCACTATTCTAGTTTTAATTTAGCTAATAAGAGCTCAGCGCTCTGACATCATCGCAGCCCCTGTGCAGGAAGCAGACGAACTTGCGCTCCGTGTAGGTTCGCGAAGATCTAATCGATCTGTGCCGTTCCAAGTTTGCCAATTCTCTCTAGATGATACCTTAACATTTGGGTGCACCTAAGAGCGGTTGAAACACAATGGAGCCAAATAAGGTGGACAATTAAATGAGAAAAATTGTCAGGTCTTGTTCTGGTCCTTCAGGCCTTGCGAACAAATATGTGCAGTCGCAAATGAAATAGAACTAGAACGTGCACTCTCTGGAACCGCATACTCTCTGGTTAATTACACATTCTAGTGTCTCCGGCCAGCGATAGCAGTAACTGTCGTCTGAAAATTGATCCGTTATATTCATCCTTAGGCGTTCTGTACACACATTTTGCTTACAGGTACAGCCGGGCGAAATGTGTGCAGTGTTGCACACGTTCCTTTAAATCAAAAGGAACGAAAGCTCGTTTCTCGTTCTTTCTGAATTTCGGAATGTGTTCCCGCTAGAAGTTCCATGTGTGAAAGAGGAACTCGTTCCCGTTACAGCTAAACAAATGAAACGTATCGTTACATATACGTTACTTTTGTATTTTGCTGATTACCAGATATAGTCAGATGCAGCAAAGTTTTCTTTTGTTTTTTATCTATCCTATCAAATGGCAAAGCACGAAATTGAATGCCGTGATGAAAAGGCACCAGCAGAAGAGAACAATCGTAAGCAGGGTTTCATTTGGTGATAAATTCACCTATAAAATCGCAGCTTTTAACCGTACTCATGGTTGTGGTGGGTGATTCAGACAAGCCACATGTACTCTTGCCCCACATTACAGGAGCGTTTTAGAACAACCTGGACACCTTAACAACTGTTGCTTCTCGATGTTGCTGCCAGTAAAACGAGCAAGTGAAAAAGAGGATAGGGCTTTTGGAAGGTCAATCTTGAAAACTACAGGTCCTTCGTGAAGGTTGGATTTGTTGTTCAGTCTGATATTGGTGGTGGTGGAGGCGGGGGAGGGAGGTGTAGGAATAAAGGTTAATTTCTGCGTATCTTTTGAAGGAATGTTGAACCAAACCTTTTAGTGTCTATAATAAGTGGCGCACTATCTTTTCATGAGTCAGCAGCCGCCGGTGTGCACGAGCACACGAAACAAAATTGACGTTATAATAACCCCCATTCGCGCTTAATCGTGAAAGGGGGATATGATAAAGTCAATTTTGTTGCTTGTGCTCGTACACCTCAGCGGTTACTGACTCGTAGAAAGATAGTGCGCCACTTATTATAGACACTGAAACGTTTGGTTCAGCATCCCTTTACGTGACCAATTTTCTGAATACAAGGGTGCGTTAAATTTATGTCACCCCCGTTCTTTTGTCGTAACTGTAGGTCTCTTTGTGTAAGTTCAGTGAGGGCTGTAGTCGGCCTGGAGATTTTATGGTGTATGAGGATTCGTGGAAGCAAATAAAGTAACTTAGTTTGAAACGTCCGTGTTTCTATGTATTTTCCTTCGACGAAAAGTTTGGTTCCTGTACCGCAGTCTCGGGCACTAAAAAAGGAATCTGTGTCCACTAGCTCTCCTGCACCCTTCCCCCCCTCCCCCCCCCCCCCCCCCCCCCCGGACTGTTACCAAGCGAGGACTACACAAAATAAACCCTAAGATAGGTAACCAAAACATTAACGAGATCCTGGTCTTCGTGAAAATATTGTTTTTATAGTTTTAAAATTTCCCTCTTGAAAATGAAATAAAAATGACCCCACTGGACGAAAAAAATGAACGCCGTTCCTTTTTCCCTTCCAGTAAAATTGTGACGTGTTCCCGTTTCAGTTCCACCGATGCAAAATGGAACGGCGGCCTTCCTTCGTTCCTCCTGACAGGAGGAACGAAGGAAACGCCGTTCCATGGAACGCCGTTTCGTACAGCACTGAGAGTGCGTACGCGTTTAATGCAGAATGGCATTATTTCCAAAGCTAACTAGTGATGACGTCTGCGACACAAATGAGCAGGCTTTGTCTTTTAGCTGTTATTGCTTGGCAGCAATTTTGAGCGTGTCAGTTGGGTCAATAGATCAAAATGCAACTGGAAGTTATCAACAACTGTACTGGGAAAACTTAATCAGGTCAGATGTACTTTAACTATGTGTGTAATATTTTTTTTTCGCACGTTTCTTTGCAGGAGGGGTGTGGACGCTATCATCACGAACAGACCAAAACGCGTGACAGGCGTTCTAGAGGAAGACGAGTTCAAAAAAACTGTTCGACTCGCAACCTACCGGGACGACCCTTGGATGAGGCTTCAGAGTAAAACAACGGAGCGCAGACCCAATGAACCTGACTCAGACATGGATGAAATGGGGGATGAAGCCAGCGAGTTCGATTTTGAGCCTTTTTCCTACCCGTTGTCTCCTAGAAGACCACTCTCTTCCCGGAGTCCTGCCATACGAGATAGTTACAACGTATGGCCACAGCACAATCCTTTGAGCCCCTTTTACTAAGCCAGGTCACAATGAACTGACTGCCGACCATATTTACCACGAATTATATATTGTTCGAATTTTGAAAACTTTGTCGTGCGCCGTGTAACATGCGCTTGCAGACCCGTTCTACTTTAGTCTTCAAGTATATAGCCAGAGCAACAAACACCAAACGTTTCTTTTTTTAAAGCTGGTAAATATCGCTTCGTAACGTTTGACAACAAGTCACGTATTGCTAGGTACTATTCGTGGATATCATCTTTTGTAAAGAGTCCTACCTGTTCTATAGTTATCTGTGCCCGCTACTTTAAAATAGACAAATAAATTCGTATTCAAGTTTGACTTAAAACGACGGAACAAAAGTACTTATTGGCCGACGTGGGACACCGCGCAGTCCTAGAATGGTTACTACGATGGGCATTGGAAATTACTAAAGTGCCTTCCCTTGTTTCTATCTCCAGTCTCGGGTTTACAACTATATCATATTGGCTGATTATATGTTACCTCTTTTTATTTTTTTTAAACCATAATTTTTCTTTTTTTAAACCGTTATTGTTTGAAATTAGCTTCCATAAGCGGTTACCCTAGTCTTAGTTTTTTTGGGAAAGTGTATAGGCGAGGCGTTGGTAGAGCAATTCCCCTTCATGGACAACAAATAACTTGAAACTTGTGACTGGACGCAGCTGGAAAGCCGCAAGCCCAGGAATTGATGTCCGACTGCGCTTACCTTGTATACGCAGGAATAGGTTTCTACTTTTTGTTTACATATATTAAATACAAAAGACATAGAAGGTATTATAGAATTATTAAGCTATGTTATAGGTGTACCTCAAAACAAGGTACCATGGCCTCGAGGAGATACTAAAACAAATACAACAATACCTTATAAGTCAAAATGATTACAGGTGTATTTGTTTTGTTTCTTTTAGTATAATGATTTGTTAATGAAGACCTCTACGGTCAATTTCACAGGGCGGCAGAATACTGTAAATGGCCATTTTCGGAAAATTTTTATTCCCTTTTGAAGGGAAGCTTCCCGTAGAAAGTTGCCACTCAAAATGAGAGGCAACTTTCTTCCATATTGTAGGCATTAAAGTTGTCATTGTCATTTTCGCTCGCTTTGTTCTTTGTCCAATCAACTACATTCAAACTTTCTTTTCAGTCCAAAACTCTTCGAAACACGACACCACCTTTTGTAGGCCTCCTGCAACTGACGTCAGTTACAGTTAGACTCGAAACCAACATTGTTTTGTCCCTTGTCCGTATCCCCAGTCTCGGGTTACAACTATGCTCAATATTGTCGTCCGCTATCTGTTTCTTGGCGCCAAGTTGGAGGCATTTGGTGTCTTATTGAAAAAGCAGTAGTGCCATAGAGTCCGAGCCGCCTTTGTTTAACCAGATTCCAGGACATTTTCTTGTTTAAGTCAATCGCAGAGGTTCCTCACCTGACACGAAGTGCACTCCAGAAACGCTCAGTTGGGGTACGAAGCTCTTCTGTAGAAATCATAAAGTTAAATATAATAAACTAGAGTGAAATGCTCCACGAATTTGTTTGCTTCGGAACGGTGGGGCATAGACGCGTGTATCAGCAATACCAGTTGGTGGTCCCGATGAGCCCGTGTCGCTGGTGGCGCCTTAATATGCTTAAAGAGACACTGACACACCAAAAAATGTTTTTTTTTTTGTTTTTGTTTTTGCCAGACGATTTATTATGGGGTCTGAAGACTACCCAATCAATATTTTGCTACAGCGTCATGTATATTTTTAATAAAGTCAAAAAACGCACAATTCTCGAAAACAAAACCAAAACTAAAGAGGTGGCGGAAGTCACGTGGCGGTGATACTTTTTTCTTCCCAAACAACGCATTTGCAGCTTATTGGAAGCCACGAAAACTGGGTATCGTATTTATTTTTTTTTATTTTTAATATTGTGTGCGTGCCATCGATGACCTACGACTTTGATTAAATTTGGTGGTAGTGTCTAAATCTTAGAAAACGGCCCGTTACCACGGAGAAGAGAGCGAGCGCGACTCAAACCGGCCAGTTCTCGATCGGCGGTTTTCGGGCGGAAAGAGGCCGAATTTTGAGTCGCAAATTCTGTTCCGGGTTGTGGAGCTTGCATATTTCACGTACAATCAAAAATCTCGGCGAGCATAAATACCCTGTCAGTGTCCATTTGAAGAAGCTGCAACACATCACGTGTAAGGTCTCTATCTTCTCTTTTTTTTCACTTTGCAGAAAAACATTGGAATCACGCATTGACCAACTTAAACAAAATTGGCAAGCGCTCGTGCAACTTCAACTTGTCGCTGAAAAACGAACAGGCTTAACCCATTGTCAGCGTGCTTTCTTTCACTCTTTTGTTGCTTTCTTTCTCGTTCTTCCTCTTGCGACCGGAGATGTGAGCTCCAAGGATTTGCCGCGTTCTGCCCCCGTCTTACCCGCCTGTTCGAGATTAAGCCGGCGTATCCGTCGGAGCCATTCACCAGGGCCGGATTAAGAGATTTCGTAGCCCTGGGCTAATGCTGGCCAAGGGCCTGAAATTTGGATCATAATGATGATGATAATAATGACGACGACAATGATGATGATGATAATGCTGGTCAATAATGAAGAGTTTCATTAAAAGAAAAAGCCTATTTTATTAAAACTTCCCCGCTTCAAATGCCTATGTAAATTAATGTACTAAGTTAGTGCGATATCTTTTAATAATATTTACAACGAAATTTCTGACTATCCGTATATACCATCAGTATCATACAGAATACAATCTTATGTATTGCCCTTAATTTGCACGTGAATGACACAAAGGCTGAAAATGAGCTAGTTCAATCAAATCTGAAAGAAACACGCTACGGCACTGCGTTATCCGGGCGTATGTGCACGTTTTCAACCCAGCAGAACCAATCAAGACGCAACGCGCAGAAATCCTTGTGTTTGTGGCTCCTCCCACTATAGACGTTCCAAGCAGCAAGTGGCTCTTGAGAATAATTTCCTTACGTGTTCTCTCTAGGCAGGGGCGTGCTCTGGGGTAGGCCGCGTACAATGCTTTGTCGAAACAGACAATTTTAAAACAAATGAAGCATGCACGTGCACCAAGCGGGAGACGCGTTTTGGCAGTCGTAAATCGAGCGGCTGTGAGGTCAGGGTCTGGTCTTAATTTGAAAGAAAAAAAAACCTGGATTAGGCGATTGTCAACGTGCCGCTACCCAAAAAGCAAAATGGCAAGCAAAAAAAAATTAGTTAAGCCAAAGATATTGGCTTTAAAACACCCCAGTGGCACCCAGAAAGTTCAGACGTTCCGTATGATCCCCCCGTCGAAATATCGGCTTGTAACAACCCTCGAAAGAGAAAGAAAATATTTTTTGCTTTATTTGTTTTGTGTCGAACCGCAGCGGAAGACTAGGGGCCTCCACTGCTTCAAGCGCAAGTTCAGAATTGACGTCTCCTGGCTCCTCGGGCGTGAATCAGCGCGTGACGACACCTCTGGACTGGCGCTTGATTGTCTGTTGAGGCCCCTAGCAATCCGTCCTGGTTCAACACGAGATGTTACGAAGTATGTCGGAGCTGGAAAAAGTAATATGACCCTGTAGAAAAATAAAAAGGCTTTAAAGGAACCGACAGGAAATTGATTTCACAGTGCTTCGGACGCGCTGGTGATGAGTGGCAACTGTCCCAGGCCAAAGTGATTCACGACTAAAGTGGTTCTTTAACAAGCCAGCAACAAACACAGGAAAATAAAGAAAATCCTCGTTTCTGGGGGGTCTTTCGCACCCTAAGAGGGAGAAAGGGCTACCCGAGCGAGGGCCAACCCGCAGCCCCACCCCGAGAGCCGAGCGAGCCCCCCCCCCCCCCCCCCCCTTGCTCCTTCTTTCTTGAGGCTAGGAAGGCTGTACCCTGGGCTCCAGCCTTCCTACCCCCCCCCCCCCCTTAATCCAGGTCTGCCATTCATGACGCCGGCGAACCGATTGCTCGATGGTCATGGTGTAATACGCCAAAACAACAGGGACAGACAAAACGAAGGTAGAACTAGACAGGACGCGGCGTAACTTTCAACTGAATTGTTTATTTAGAAGACAGAATTTAGGAAAAATATAATATAAAAGCAGGCACACGTGGCAGAACAACAGATAAGGTCCAAAAACACACCCCCCTCAAATGCCAGTGTCATTGGTTCTTCAAATAGTAGAATTCTTTATCAGTCAATGACAAAGAGGGAGCGCTTATGCAAGTATTGTCGTGGTGGGACCTAATCAGGAAAGCTTCATGAATTTCTCTTGCCGTTTTTGTTTTATAATGGCCCATGACACAGGTGTCACCAAAGATGGGGCTGCACTTTTCAGAGTTGGGCCCGCAATCGCAACGGTCACAATGAACCGCTAAGTGGCCAGACGGGGACTGTCTGATCGCCAACGCATGCTCTCTGACCCTATCATTAATGCATCTCCCCGTCTGGCCAACGTACACCTTACCACATGACAAGGGGATTTTATACGTGACACTGGTAGCGCACTCGCGGAACTTGGTGACATGTCGTTTTTTGCATGACTCTCGTGTCACATCCGATTCGTCTCCTAATCGGCTTATCCTCTTACAGAGCGAAGAAAGTTTGTTCGGTGCTGAAAAAACGACTGGTACGTCAAAGCGATGGGCCACCTTCTTCAGATTGTGGGACATCTTATGTATGTACGGTAGGACAACAGGCCTACCTACTCTCTTCGGAGCCCTTTCGCACACTGCGCTGTTGTCTTTTCTCATCTTTTTTGCTAAGGTCTCTGAAACATCCCGAAGAACATGACGGGGGTACCCTGCCGCTTCAAGTCTGCTGAGTTGAGAATGAAAACTGTTGCTCGAGCGTCGCCTTGTCCTGGTTTCCAATGATTGCCGAAATTTTAGAAAAAAACCCTACTGCCGCATGTAGCTCCGTTTTCTCATCGACTTCTACGGCTGGAACAATTACTTAAGGTGCAACTGACCATTGCAAACCTCGAGAAACGGACAAACTACACTGCGAACACGGCCCCAAAGTACACGAAACATAATAGTGACGAATGCCTCCAACATAGATTCCGGTGGGCTCCTGTGATAT